GCCTAACAATCTCAGTATTAGTGTTATTATATTATTAAGTACCTCCAGAACTGTCAAGAGTGTCTGTGCTCTGCGTCTCACGCCTCAAACGACACCATGTATTCACTGCATGTCGGCATTTGTCTTCTGAGGCTCAAGTAATATATTAAAAGATTGAAACAACTTCTCCTACCGAAACAAATTACGTTTTTATTTTTGATATTTGGTGCCAATTAATCAGGAAGTGACGACTTTCTTTTTGACTTGTTGAATGGTAACGCTGAACCATCTGCACATCTTTTATATCATATTCCTAATTTGCGCAGAAATTTAATTGTGCATCTTTGGATGGAAACATAGCTACTGTCTGTGACGCAATACAGAAAATTCGACCAATCAAAATGCGTAAAAAGATTTAGCTCCACCCCCTCCCATGGAGGACTGCAAATAACCAAGACAGTCATCGCATGCTTAAAACACTTAATGATTAGACTTTACATATGGATCTTTTGCAATAGATTGATAAAAATATTGAGTTACATTATTAAAAAAAAGATTCATGGGCCCATTCCCTTGTTTATGTATTCCTTCATATTCATTATTTGTGACTTTGTGCATGTTCGTAAAAATAAATAAAATTCATTCATTTTCTCTTCGCAAATTGAAAGAACATACCCAACAAATTAATACATCTAATGGTGGGCAGCATCTGTTAAACTAGAAATGACTTGGTCATACAATTATTAAAAAAAGCTCAGAAAAACAAATGAATAAAATGTTGTAAACATCTAAAACTGAAGCAAAATCATCAAGCTGATACACTGCAGTCCAAACAATGATATTATGGCCAATATGAAGAGAGAGCAGAAAGCAACAAAAACAACAACAACAACAACAACAACAACAACAACCATCTAATAAGCAAATCTGTTAAATTATGGCTGCTCTTTGCATTCTCGATTATATATGAAAACTCCAAGTCCACTGCCAGACTAAATGCCAACGCAAAACATTTTTTGGGAGACACAAAGGCATTTTAACTTGCCTTAAGACCAAGTATTCAAAAACATAAAATTATAAAATTTGTAAATGCAGTGTAAAACAGTCCGTTTAAAGAAATGCTCCTTCAAAAGTGCTTCTGTGCCAACTTTGCCATGTTGATTTAACACAACAGGTAGACAAAAAGGCACAGAAATCATCATGCCCAGTTCAGCAAGCTGTTCTACACATTTTTTGCAAAGACTATACATATAAGATATCAAAAGGATTGTCATTTAATGTTTGGACTGAGGTAAATCTGGTTTTATATATGCACATTCATTATTTTTTTAACAGTGACCGTCACTTTTAGGGCTGCGAAAAAATGATGTCAGAGTTATTAGCCCCCCTTCGATTTTTTTTTCTTTTTTAAATATTTCCCAAATGATGTTTAACAGAGCTAGGATATTTTCACAGTGTGTCTGATAATATTTTTTCTTCTGAAGAAAGTCTTATTTGTTTTATTTCGGCTCGAATAAAATCAGTTTTAAATTTTTTTAAACCTTTTTAAGGTAAATATTATTAGCCCCTTTAAGCTATTTTTTCCAATAGTCTACAGAACAAACCATCATTATACAGTAACTTGCCTAACTACCCTAACCTGCCTAGTTAAGCCTTTAAATATCACTTTAAGCTGTTTTTTTGGGAACTTTTTTTTTTTTAATTCTCTCCATTAAACAAATTGGGGTGGAAAAATAAAAAACAGAGCTAATATTTCAGGGGGGCTAATAATTCTGACTTCAACTGTATATATTGCGAATATATATGAATACAATGTCAGCAGATGACTTGAATATCTCTACTTGGAAAGATCTAATCTATTGATAACATGAATAATTTTGATTAATTGTAATTAAAAGTTAAAGTAAACTGTTTCCTCATGCCTGAATGTTTTAAAATCATCGTACAGTCACAGGCCTCAAAAACACAAGCAAATGATAAATTATAATACAAGAATCAACATTGCATATCCTGCGATGTGACTAATATAAATGATCACGTTGCGATATTAATGCCGAAATTAAATATTGTTCAGCCCTAGTCCATATATTGTTAACCACGCTACTATATTCAGTCCAGAGCATGACTTCACAACAACATTAGCACTGTTTAATTGACTGTGAACAATGTTGTACTTTAATAGTAATTGGCTACAGATATGATCTCCCTATTTAGAATTTACACTTTTCTGAAATTATATTAAAGGAGAAAGTCAGAATGTGCAAATATAAAAACAACTTTACCTCAGTAATGCTCAGCTGCTAGTCTTGCTGATTGCAAAAATATTTTCTTCAAGTTTCCCCCGCAAAAAAAATGAAGTCAAGACCTTCAAACATGAACGCCGAAGTCTTCGTAGTTTGGCAAAGCAGCTCATTGCTACAGCATAAGTAACAACAGAGGGTCTGAGGAGATGCTCTCAGCAAAGAGCCTTTTAAACCCTCCTCTTATCTGTGGTTGTCATGCATATCTCTACATCGAATCTTCTCCGCCCCTTCTTCTATGGACATCCCCATTTTTAGGGCTCACTCCAAGTGGCTCTTTGTTAGCTCTAATGCGGCAGCCTCAGCAGAGATCACGTCCAACAACAATACATCATGTTTGCTGCACATCCTGCTGTCAACTGTACATTCGGCTGAAGTTTGCATTTGTAGGTGTTGGGAGATTCCTGTTGGTTCAGCATACATGATGCAATTCATATATTCACCAACTCTTCAAAAAAAAATATGATTTTTTTAGTGAAACTTCAACCAAATCCTTACTTAAAACAATATTGCCTACAATAATGTTCCACTAACAGTCAAACTATACACCTTTTTGATAGTGTACTTATCCATCTGTGCCTACATGAGTGTTTTTCTTAAAATTTTTATTGTCTTGTATGTATTAGTGTCAACATTGCTTGTACTATATTGTTTTGTTCTTTGGAGTTTGTTGTTTTCACTCATCATAGTACACATGCTGCTGATGACGTTACATTGGAAGTGATCTGATTTGACTCGGAGGGTGGGCACATGTCTGGGTTTGCGCCTCAAAGGAAATGCACTCTTGAATTAAAGCCATGCATGAGCCCTCAGATTTTCAGCTGTGTGCCTCGTTTCCGTAAATCTTTCCATGTTTCCGGCTGAGTTTGCACAATGCATCTCTTCATTTCTCATCCGTTTTAAATAGCTTCTTCATTAAAGTATACAAAGGTCAAAGATAAAAGCAGGATGATAATAATGTAATGCACACAGAGTGATAATAAAGTAATGCTATAGACCATTTCAATGTGGTCTTCGTAGTCATAAACATTTCCTGCTTATCAAACAGTTTCAGAACTATAACGAGGCTATTTATTAATAGCTTAAATGTTAAAACAGCAATCAACAGTTTATTAATATTAAAGTCTCTTTTTGGATTCTCGAAAGCTATAGAAATTAAGTGTAAAACAGGACATACGTTGGGACCATTGTTTTTGTTTACATCTCTCAAAATGGTCTATAAAATTAAACGGCAAAATTATAATAATGAAGTCATCAAATTAAATGTATAAAGGAGTAATGAAATAATATTTTAAAACAAATCAATAAAACTCCTTAATATTTGTAAATACAGTTTTCGTTTCAATGCAAATTCAAATAATCATAATTAACGATCATCATCATTACAGATTATAAATAAATAAGTTTTGGGGGTCCAAATAAGTGCATCTAATGTCACTTTCTTTTTCATTAAAGTATAAAAAGGTCAAACATAAAAAGAGATTATAATAATGCAGTTCATATACAGTGATAAAGTACTGGCATGAAATTAAACAAAAACTAAAACAATTTAAAAAAAATCTAATTAAGCATATAAAAAAGGAGAGTAATGACAAAGCACTAAAATTCCTCAATACTTGTAAATACCGTTTTTGTTTTAATGCAAACATGTGAATGCAAAATTCAAACGATCATCAACAACCCTCATAATCATTATCACATATTATAACCCATTTAAATATGGTTAGCTGTCCAAATCAATTCATCTAAGGTCACTTTCTTTCTCATTAAAAGTATTAAAGGTCAAACATAGGAATGATAATACTGCAATTCATATTGAGTGATAATAAAGTAATGGCATAATGTTAAGCAAAAACAAAAATAATAAAAAAGTCATCAAATTAAGCATATAAAAGAAGAGTAATTACATAAAAAAAAAACAACAACAACAACACGAATAATAAAAAAAATAATAAATAAAAATCCTCAACAGTGGTACGTACATACGGTTTGTTTCAATGCAAACATGAATGCAAATTATCATCAACTATCCTCATCATCATCATCATTAAATATTATACAACTAGTTAAAGAAGTTTTGCCGTTCAAATCAATGCATCTGATGTCACTTTCTTTTTGTCTATTATCCAACAACACAAACTTACGACGAGACAAACTCTTCAGTTTCGTTTCCTGAGTAAACGTGCAAAGCAAAACCATCACAAACGAATAGGGGTGGGTATAGGTTTTATATTCGCACTCACCTTAATAATATTACTAAATAAGTGTTCTTTGCTACTTCTAAATTTGTAAATCATACTAGCAGCCCGTGATTATTAAAAATTATGTAGTTTTTAAATCAATAAAAGAGCTAATGTTGTGCTAAAGTCATACTTACATGCCATTTCAGACTTAATTTTAAGAGTAAGTTAGCGTTGTAAACAATAGCGACCGAGTTGTCACTAAACTAATGTGCGAGTAGAACCGATTTTACCTCAGTAACAAACGCATGCAGTGCAATGAAATAATAACTATAAACAAGAAAGTTACTAACTTATATGCACATAACATCTTCATTACTTCGTATCCATGACACAAAACACAACAGGCGGAGCTATTAATTTACTTTAAGGCCTATGAATAGCCACTAACACACAAAACCTGCAGCGGAAAATATAAACCTCCGAAGCTCCCCGCAGAAGTCAAATGTAAACACGAGGAAAACAACACAAAGCTAGTTACCCACAAAGCTCCGACAGAGGAAACTTTGAGTCTCTCAGCGCTGCTTCATCTCATTCCTCCACTGACAGTGTCGTAAACGCTTTTTAATCCACTCAACGGTGCTTTACATGTCCCCTCTCTCTCTCCTCTATCTGTGGCTGAATTTTGCTCTCCACTGAAAACACGCTGCTGTCGAGTCGCGCCGCTGTGACGCCACTGAGCTGCCCATTGCGCCTGCGCAGCAACTAAGGGCGGGTTAGCTCAATATAAATGGCTTATGTTATTGAAAATGCCTTCTGGGCAATTAGTAAAGCTCGTGATTAGATTTGTGAAACGACGTGCACAATGAAGGTTTCTGGAGGAGTAAATTTGGTTTTAAGAGGAATTAGTGTTGTTCATTAGGCTACTTTTACAAAAAAAGAAATGACTCAAATGAAATACTTAAACCATTTCTAAGATTACTTCAAATTAAATTGAGTATTTACAGTATTTCAGCCTTAAGATTTGTTATGGCTATCTTATTTGTTATAGATTTTTAGCTATCAGTGAATTTAAAACAAATTTAGATACACAAAAGAGATAGCTAACTCAGTGGTTCCCAAAGTGGGGCTCGAGACCCCTCAGGGGGTTGCAGGATAATGCAGGACACTTGATGCTTTCCAAAAATCTAATTTATTTTATTAAACTATCAGAATAAGCAAATTTCATCCATAACTCACAAAAGATAAGAATAGCAGTTAATAGTTACCTTAAAAAACAACATGCGTTTGTTGTGACCCCTGGGTTGATTACGTTTATTAAAGACACAGCAACAGTATCAAATGCAGCAGATTGACTTTATGGCACCAAGTTATACTTCTCAACTATTTACAGCACTCACGTACATTAAAAATAAATACAGGCAACGTCAGCGCCAATAACCTAGTGGTTATGTCCGGCAACATGTAGCATCGTGGTGCTCACGGCAACCCGAGTTCGAGTCCAACTCTAGGTTGTTTGCCGACACTTCCCTTTTCTCTGCAACTAATACTTTCCTGCCTGTAATCTCTACTATCCTATCCAAATTAAAGGTGAAAAACCCCTAAAGAATAATAAAAAATAAATAAATACAGGCCAGTGGTAATAATGGGCCCAAATTGTGCCTAGAAAACATCCCCTACACAGTGGCGTAGCGGACGGGCCCGCAGGGCACACACCGCGGGGGGCCCCACGTGATTAGGGGACCCCACGTCGTCGCGATTATCAATAATTGAAATCTGAACTCCTCTCAAACGGTGGACTACTTCATTCTGATTGCTTGCCGCCGAACCGCGTCATAGCTTATTACCATAAAGTTGACTTGATTTCAAGTCCTCCTTGATGCCCACAATGGAGAAGACACGCAGCGCTGCTCCTCGCCACCGGTTCTTATTGAAAATGAATGACTTCCGGCTACTTTGACGCTCTCGTCGCTTGTTTGTGAACGCTACCCCGCGCCGTTACTCCACCCCGCCCCCCTTTCCCGCTCCTCAGTTTGCTATCGCTCCTCAGTTTGTAAAGGCTTCCCCGCGTTGTCACCTCACCCTGCCCCCCTTTCCCGCTCCTCAATTTATGATCGCTTCCTCACGTTGTTGCTCCACCGACTCTCCCCGTCCCCTCAGTTTGTGACCCCCCCCCGCTCCCATCAAGGGGCCCCGTCAGTGATCCCTGCAGGGGGGCCCCCGCATTTTGCGCTACACCTCTGCCCCCACACCATTATACCACCAACAGCAACTTGAACCATTGATACAAGGCAGGATGGATCCATGCTTTCATGCTGTTGATGCCAAATTCTGACCCGACCATCCAAATGTTAAAGTAAAAATGGAGACTCATCAGACCAGGCAACGTTTCTCCAATCTTCTATTGTCCAATGTTGGTGAGCCTGTGTGAATTGTAGTCTCAGTTTCCTGTTCTTAGCTGACAGGAGTGGCACCCGGTGTTGTTTTCTCCTGCTGTAGCCCATCCGCCTCAAGGTTGGATGAGTGGTTATTTGAGTTATTGTTGCCTTTCTATCAGCTGTAACCAGTCTGGCCATTCTCCTCTGACATCAACAAAGCATTTGTCCCCACAGAACTGCCGCTTACTGGATATTTTCTATTTTTCAGACCATTCTCTGTAAACCCTAGAGATGTTTGTGCGTGAAAATCCCGGCAGATCAGCAGTTTCTGAAATATTCAGACCAGCCCGTCTGGCACCAACAACCATGCCACATTCAGAGTCACTTAAATCCCCTTTCTTCCCCATTCTGATGCTCGGTTTGAACTGCAGTCTTGACCATGCTTTGAGCTGCTGCCATGTGATTGGCTGATTGGAAATTTGCGTTAACGAACAGTTGGACAGGTGTACCTAATAAAGTGGCCGGTAAGTGCATAACTCATTAAAGTGTATCACAAATAATAATGTTATTATAATAGAAATATAATAACTCCAACACAAGCACCACTAAGTGAATTAAACCTATAATATACATTGTTGTGATGTTCTTACTCAATGTTATTGTGTTGATAAGTTCAATCAAGGCATAATTATTCGGAAATTCAAAACTATAAGAGATGCAAAGTCATACTTTCTGTGAGACTGATCAAAATTATTATATTTTATGATGAAAACACAAATATCTGCCAGTAGGCTCTGAAAAACACAGTGTCTAAAAGTAAATTTAGATACAAAAAAAGAGCCCTGATAGCTCAAAATCAATTATACATCTAAGAAATAGTATATTAAATAATACTATGATAAATAATAATGTGTTTTTATGTTTGTTCTCTTACCTGTGGGTCAGATTAAAATGAAAACACTTGTTAAACAGCAACATAGTTTATATTTTGGTTTACTTATGACTAAGTTTATGCCTAATTGAGCTCTGTAAGTTATTTGTAAGAAGTGCTGAATGATGAGCACGATTACAGTCTTCTGCACCGTAGGACTGCTGATAAGAGAGAGGTCTTGTTCCCAGAGATTACCTTTAACTTTTGCGATCAAACGACACTGGGGTGTTGACACAGCCTCAAACACACTCGGTTGTTTATCATCAATTAAAAAGCAATGAATAGTCATAAACACACGACTGACGGAGCAGACTTTATGGGGACAGCATAGCAGGAGGGACCATAGACATAAAATAATCCCGGCTAGGTCAGGGGCCTCATAAAATTAGACCATAAACCGAAATCAGGATTTAACAGGTCTTTGATCTCTGATTGAAACACTTTAGTTAAAACATCCACATTGACAGCTTAAAAGGAACTTTTTTGTACTTTTTACAGTACTTTTTACTCTGTCATTAAAATACGCTTTTGTTTGTTGTAAACACTCGCCCTCTAGTGGTGAAAATACATACTGTGCCTTTAATTGTGTAAAGGGTGATTTAAGACCTACAGAAACCCTTTAGAAACATACTTTAGACTATTTTAAAATCCCGGTCCACTTTTGTACTTAAAACATCCACACCGACAGCTTAAAAGTTAGACTTTTGTACTTTTTATGGTACGTTTTAGTCATCAAAATACGCTTTTGTTGTAAATACACTATACATATATGTGAAAATACACACTGTGCCTTTAAAATGTGTAAAGGGTGATTTAAGATATACAGAAACCCTTTAGAAACATACATCAGATATTTTGAGAAGGGTATTAATGGAGGTCGGAGCTTGCTTCAAGTGGGTGGGACTTGAGCTCGTATAGTGGGCTGTACAAAACTGGAGTTTTATTTATTTAACGTCCTGTACTTGACCAATATTGTGCTTTATGAATGTCCATAACTACCCCAGCACTAAACCTAACCTCAACGTAAGCTGATGTGTTTTATTTATACAGCATTAAGTCCTTCCCCCTTGGAGGTCACCCCACCGATTTGTGGTGTAAAACCACCCACTTGGTGCTCTCTGGGTTGTAGTGAAGTTTTCAAATCCTGGTCTACTTTTGTAGCTAAAACATCCACATTGACAGCTTAAAAGATTCACTTTTTAACTTTTTATAGTACTTTTTACTTAGTAGTCACTCAGTCATCAAAATACTTTTGTTTGTTGTAAATTATTTTGCCCCCTCTAATAGTGAAAATACATACTGTACCTTTAAAATGTGTAAAGGGTATTATTTTAAATTTAGGACCTACAGAAACACTTTAGAAACATACAGTAAATCAGACATTTTCTAAATCCTGGTCTACTTTTGTATCTAAAACGATCATTGACAGCTTGAAAGTACTTTGTATAGTACTTTTTACTCTGTCATTAAAATATGCCTTTGTTTGTTGTAAACACTCGCCCTCTAGTGGTGAAAATACATACTGTGCCTTTAATTGTGTAAAGGGTGATTTAAGACCTACAGAAACCCTTTAGAAACATACTTTAGACTATTTTAAAATCCCGGTCCACTTTTGTACTTAAAACATCCACACCGACAGCTTAAAAGTTAGACTTTTGTACTTTTTATGGTACGTTTTAGTCATCAAAATACGCTTTTGTTGTAAATACACTATACATATATGTGAAAATACACACTGTGCCTTTAAAATGTGTAAAGGGTGATTTAAGATATACAGAAACCCTTTAGAAACATACATCAGATATTTTGAGAAGGGTATTAATGGAGGTCGGAGCTTGCTTCAAGTGGGTGGGACTTGAGCTCGTATAGTGGGCTGTACAAAACTGGAGTTTTATTCATTTAACGTCCTGTACATGACCAATATTGTGCTTTATGAATGTCCATAACTACCCCAGCACTAAACCTAACCTCACAGTAAGCTGATGTCTTTTATTTATACAGCATTAAGTCCTTCCCCCTTGAAGGTCACGCTACCGACCACTAAGTGCTCTCTGGGTTGTAGTGATGTTTTCAAATCCTGGTCTACTATTGTAGCTAAAAAATCCACATTGACAGCTTAAAAGATTCACTTTTGAACTTTTTATAGTACTTTTTACTTAGTAGTCACTTTGTAATCAAAATACACTTTTGTTTGTTGTGAATACACGCCCTCTAGTGGTGCAAATACATACTGTGCCTTTAAATTTGTAATGGTTGATTTCTTTAGATACATACATCAGATATTGTTAAATCCTGGTCCTCTTTTGTACCTAAAACATTCACATTGATAGCTTAAAAATGTTTGTACTTTTTACAGCACTTTTTACTCCATCATCAAGATACGCCTTTGTTTATTGTGAATACATACCTTGTGAATACATTCACCAATAC